CGTTCTGGGTCTCATATCATCTGGGTTCCCCGCGCACTCCTAACAGATTTCAGGGAACCAAAATTTATCTGAAATATAGACGTTAACGTCCTTGAGGGGGCGGGCTAAGAGGCGTAACCAGAGTGGTTCCTGAAATAATTTTGTTATCCAGCAACAAAGTCAGCAACTTTTGACTTCTACAATGAACTATGTTAAACTTTGTAGGTGATTTATTTTGAAAGTCAACATCAGATATTGGTCAAACTTTTTGGGCAACATCTAGGGGTCTTCTAGAGTCAACCAGAAGTGAGAGTGGTTCCTGACATGGCAGAAAGACATTGATGTAATTAACAGCTTTTATTTATTTATTTTTTTCATATTTTTCAGCTTTTATTTATTTATGTTTCTGCTAATAACAACTTTTATTTATTTGTTTTTCATATTTTTTAGTTATACACAACTTTTAATCATTTATTTTTCAAATATTAAGAACTTTTTTTCCAGCTTTTATTTTGAAAAACAACGCTCAGTGTTCGCAGCAGCATTACCGTAGTACATGTTGTAAACGTGCACAATTAATATCCTGATACATGCTCAATAATCCAGGTAGAAAAATCCAAAAAAATTCAATCTGGTCCTCTGGACATTCAAAAAACAAGAAAACAACAAAACAAAACAAAGCAAAAAAAATGTAGAAACTTCGTCTCTCATCCGAAAGTGCACAATTAAGTCAGTGAGGGCTGCCGGAGCAGAAAGGAGGCTCACTTTACCGCAATCATTTCTCTGACCTTATATGGAGCCGTCAGCTGCCTTGTGTGGAAAAAACAATATTCTCCGTGGTCTTCTGTCTCATCTTCTGCTCATGCTGAGTCCATTTTTGAAAAATGACTAAATATAACTCCTAAAACTGCTAAAACTTGATGCCGCTTGTTTTTATTTTTATTTACAGAAGAAGAAGACGTGTCTTCAGAGGTTTTTGTGTCGTTTCTTTCAGTAGTTCTTGGTGCAGCGCCCCCACAGGCGAGCGGGGGAACAGGTTGGTTCAACAGGTTGACTCAACTACACAGTGCAGTGTGAATGCAAACGCACCAGCTCAAATGTAAACAAAAGGTCATGAATATTGGTCCCGAACCGAACCGAGTCTACCGGACTATCTGGTGTGAAAACGACCTAAGGATCCAATCAATCAGCTGAGAGGAGGAAAATCCAGGACAAAATTAGTACACGTAGTTTTTGGATTTGTATCTGTTAAGAAAAAAAGTTTTCTTAACAACATGAAACTGTTTTGTAACTTGTGATTTAAAAAAAAATTTTTTTTACAAATACAAATCTTTTTTACAAGGTTACAAATCTTTTTTACACGTACGATTTTTTTCTACAAGGTCACAAATCATTTTTACACCTGCAAAATATTAAAGGCTGGAATTTGAGCCCATAGTTTCAGATTGAAATATTCTTATTTTGAAAAATTACAGAATAGTTGCAATTTTGGTCAAATGTATTTTCATGTAATATCATAATGTATAATTGTCGTGAATGACTCTCAGCTTCTACCACATCTAGTTCAATATCGGGAAAGCCTTTTCTGAGATCTTCTGAGTTTCATGCTGGTTCATGCGGGGCTCTAACACAGCCCATGCCTGATCAGAAGCCAGCAGATTTCTCCTGACTGACCTGTGTCTGCTCCTGCTTTTGGATGATGATGATGACGAGGATGATGATGTGACTGCTGTGCGACGGTGGCTGGCCCTCTCAGGGTGGGAGTGATACAGTCTGTCACATTCTGAGCACAGCGCCTGCAGACAGGTCGGGCAGTAGGCAGAGACACAGAATATTCCACAAATGGTGCAGTTCTCTGAAACACAGACAAGGAAATAATCTGAAACTATAATCCACACACATCCACCTGACTGTTTACCTATTGAACATGAACTTTGATATAATCCATACAATGTGAAGCAAGACAAGATCCCTGTCTGTCACTGAGGCATGTTCAAATACTTCAAATTATTCTTCAACTTTACAGCTTATCATAAGAAATTCATATAATTTAGAAGACTTATTACAATAAGATCGTATATGTTGAGAAATGACAGAGTTGTTGCCATTCTGGTCAATTCTTCAAAATACTCATGCATTATTGTTACATATCACACTGAATATGAGCTAAGAGTCACTCTCCAAGTACCACATCAGATTTCAGCTCAATATCTGTAAAACAAATGAAAAATAGCAATTGCTGTGTTAGCTTTAATTAGCTATGGTAGCCATCTTAAATTTGCAAGTTGCAGATGTACACCCAATGGTTATATTCTGAAAGTTTAATTTAAATCTGTCCAGTAGTGAAGGAGATATTTTACTAATAGACTGACACACAAACATGCATATATTATATACAGGGCCAGATTAACACTTCACTGTACCCTGGGCAACAATCTTCAAGGGCCCCATCATCACGACCCCAGAATAACCATAATCTGGCAAAATACAGAATAAATTACCATAATATACAGTAAATATACTTAAAATTCTAACTATCAAGTGTGTTTTTATGTATAAAACTCCAAATGTTCATTGACACAAACCATCGACTGAATTAAGTTGAACGCACTTTAATTTAATCACCATATGACACCATATTGAAAATTATTATGATTGAAATAATTGTTTGAAAAAAGGGGCTGATATAATAAGATTTTTTCTTCTTTCTGCTGCCTTTCATTTTAAATCTTTTGTATCTTTCTTTATAATGTTATGAAATTGTTTTGTACCTTTTTAAAATGAATAAACTTTATACCATACACGACACCATATGTGTACTTGTTTAGTAATGTGTTGGCCACTGGTGTCAGAAGCATTTACAGTATGTGTGTGGGGGGGGGGACACACTGATGGGGATTTTGAATAAAGTAGATGCCATTTCCTGCATTCTGGTGTATTTTAATGTTTGTTTAACATCTAGTTTTACCTACATAAGTAAACACTTGGAATGCCTTGGGATTCCCCTGAAAGAGCTGGTCCATGTGGATGGGGAGAGGGAAGTCTGGGCCTCCCTACTTAGGATGCTACCCCCACGGATGGATGGAAGTGAACACTTGATTCAGTAACTATTTTAGAGCTAATGGCACAACAAGAAGTAACCTGACCAACAGCTGATTCAGTAATTAAAAATATATATTCAAAGGTGACAATTTGATGCTCAAATTAAAACTAAATGCCTGTAACTTAGTTGACTTCAAATGAAATAAGATTATCAATAAATGTTTGCGACAAAGGATTTACTGATTATAACAAAGATTCCTTCAAGAAACCTCCTAACATAAATCATAAAACCAGAATGACTTCTGCTCATTCTAAATTTGTCAAATGACCTAAATCTCCTAAAGTGAAGGAGAATCATTTAAAAATAATAAATAAGATATATCCTGTAGCCATGTTTCTGCAAAGATTTAAATTTGATGTTGATTTGTGTGCCTTTTGTCAATCGGAAGATGAATCCCTCGAGCAATTTTTTTTTTCATGTCAATACAAAGTGTTTGGTCAGACATCAGAAACTGGATTAATCTCAAACTTAACATTCCTTCTTTTCATGCTGATGCCATTTTACTTTATGTGGATAACTTAAGCTCAGCTTTCTCTGATACCATAAATATAGTCGTACTTATAGCAAAGTACAACATTCACTGTAGTAAGAAGAGGGATAATAAGCCTTCCTTCCTGTTTAATGAACAATTTTAAGCCATACTATCCTTCATTAAGTAGTAGATGGGGCGGCTGTGGCTGAGTGGTTAGAGCAGTCGTTCTCCAATGCGAGAGTTGGGGGTTCAAATCCACCAGCAGTCACATGTCAAAGTGTCCCTGGGCAAGAAACTGAACCCCTCATAGCCTCTGATGTGTGTCACATCAGTGTATGAATGTGATCTAAAGCACTGATTAGTCACATTAGAATGATTTGTTCAATTAGCTTTGTAGTGATCTAGTAGAGTGCTGTATGAATGGGTAAATGAGGACAAAGATTGTAGTGTAAAGCGCTTTGAGTGTCTTGAAATAAGATAGAAAGGCGCTATATAAATACAGTCCATTTACAATTTAGATTAAAAATCTGCAAAACTGCTAAAATCATCTCACAACAGATACAAACTTATGTTTCTCAAGAAAAAAAAACCCTGATGAGCTTGTCAGCAGGTAAGGGGCGTTTACCTTCGGGACAAATTGAGGTTGTCGATTGGTCAGTTGCTGACACGCCTTCTGAGTTGATTGACAGGTCATACAGTTGAAGATCCAATTGAAAAAAAAAAACCGAAAGCTGCAGCAGCCGTGCTGGAAGGAGGTGGGGCGGCCCAAATGCAGTGGAAGAGCAGCAGTCTGTGCAGCGCAGGGCTTCAAGTAAAGCGGGGGATAACCAGATATTTTGCTTGTGCCCTCACTGCCCTGGGCCCCTTAGAGATCATGGGCCCCTGGGCAGTTGCCCAGTTGCCCATATGGTTAATCCGGCCTTGATTATATATGCATACATAACATGCATATATTTTGTTGCCAGCCTTCCCACCATCAGACATCTACACCTCCAGATGCAGGAAGAGGGCCACCTGCATAATGAAGGACCACACTCACCCCACACACACACTTTTTGCCCCACTCCCCTCAGGCAGGAGGTTGAGGAGCATTAAGTGTAGAACCACTAGACGGAGGAACAGCTTCTACCCTGAGGCTGTTAGATTCATTAATCAGGAAAATCACTGTTAGAAAAAAGTAAAGAAATACAATGTAATGCCACTTTAATTGGTGATATGTGCTGCTGATTATCCATGCTGCTGATCTCGTTCTGCTGATTATTTTATGCTGCTGTATTCATTCATTCATACCGAACTGCTCACACAGACTCATGTTCAGGCTGCTGTTTAATATACCATATTGTTTTGCGTTATTAGTGTTTAGAGTACAGGTATATCTTAGATTTTTGAGCGTACCCTTTAGTGTTCGTTTAATGTATATCTTAGTGTATATATTAGATCCTTATATATTGTTTCTTGTTACACATTATATTTTTGCTATTGTCGGGTGTAACAGGGACCCATTCTATATAATTTCATTCCACCTCATGCACCACATGTAAATGGACTGTACTTATACAGCGCCTTTCTATTTTATTTCAAGATACTCAAAGCACTTTATACTACAATCTGTGTCCTCATTTACCCATTCATACAGCACGCTGTTAGATCTCTACAAAGCTAATGGAACAAATCATTCTAATGAGACTAATCAGTGCTTTAGATCACATTCACACACCGATGGGACACACATCAGAGGCTATGAGAGGTTCTGTGTCTTGCCCAGGGACACTTCGACATGTGACTGCTGGTGGATTCGAACCCCCAACTCTCGCATTGGAGGACGACTGCTCTAACCACTCAGCCACAGCCGCCCACTGTAAGGATGGTACCTTTTTGTGGCCCGGTTTGTGTCTGTGTTCCCTAGTGCTCCCTCGTTAGTTCTATTAGTGCCACCCTTGTCTCGTCCCAGCTGTTCGTAATCACGTCTCGTCTTGTCCCTGTATATAAGCCGTCTGTCAGTCTTGTTCGTTGTTGCGTCGTACTCGTTGGGTCTCCTGTGTTCCCCTGAGTCTTCTGAGTTCCCTGAGTCTTCAGTGTCCCCCGAGTCCTCCTGAGTTTCCCGTGCCTTATCTTCCTGTTCATGTAAGTTTTGCTGCCCCGTCAGCCTATTATTTTGTATCTTTATTTTATCATTAAATACCTATTTTTGTATTCTGCCGAGTTGAGTCCCTGTCTGCACTACTGGGTTCGCTCCTGCCTAGAAAATCCTAACATTACGACGCGACCAGACCAGAACCCAGCGGGCAGGGTCTCTCTCGGCAAACTCACCTTTTTTCTTTTTCCCTCCATGAGCCATAGATGGACGAGCTCCACTCGGTCCCTGTCCTTCTGCCGTCCCACTGCCGTCGTAGTGGCAGAGAACAGTTCCGGAGGCAGTCCGCGGCGACCGGCCCGGTCTCGTTGGCTGAGCAGAATTTTAGAGCTGGTTCCGGTGTTTCTGTGGGAGCGGGATCCGCCGCCTCACCTCCCAGGTTTCCGGTGGGGGCGAGATCCAACGTCCCACGGGAGCTCCGGTCCACTCCTGTTCGGTTCGGTGAGTCCAGTCCACTTGACGCCATAGGGGCGGGTTCCGTCGCCTCACCTTCCAGGTTCCTGGTGGGGGTGGAATCCGGCCTCTCACTGCCACTCCGCACCGCGGCTGTCCGACCCAGCCTGACCGTACCTCCCGAGCATATTCCCAGTGACTCCGTGGGGGCGTGTTCCGCCGCCTCACCTTCCAGGTTTCCGGTGGGGTCGGCACCCGTCACCACACCCCCACATAGAGACTTTCCCTTCTTACACTCATTTTCACCCGAAGAAATTACGCAAATAAATCAGACTTTACTAGAGTTATTCCATTCAGCTAAAGCTAACCCGGCTTCCATCAACATCGTGTTGTCCCAGATGGAGGGTTTTTTATTATCTATTATTGGTCTTTCTTGGCTTCCTGAGTACAATCTTTTACTAACTAAGATAGGGACTTTAAAAACCCCTGTAGTCACTGCCATCTCTGAACCCACGTTGCACGCAGCCCCTGAGGTGGATTCCACACTGCATGCAGCCCCTGAGGTGGATTCCACGCTGCACGCAGCCCCTGAGGTGGAT